TTAAATACAAAATTTTGAAGTTAAAATGTTCTGACCCTGTGGTGAAACGTTCCGGTTGACAGGATCAAATGTTTGAGTGTGTTTATGAGCGATGTTCCTGTATGTTGTTAATGTGCAACATGAAAAACAGGGAAACTAATACATACAATCGCAATACAATAAAATAAAAACAAAAGAATAAGATGAAAAAGGAAAGTGAGTGAGTGAGTGTCAGCTTAATGTGGGAGGAAAGCCCGAAGTGATGCAGGTCTCTGACGTTTATCACTTCGGTGAAACCCACGAGCACGGGTATGGTGCTGACAAACCTTGAAACATAATCGGGGCGAACCGGGATTCGATAGCGTAGCGAATCGCGGCGCCTTAGACGACTGGGCCACCCGTGCCCCCCTGAAAAAGGAAAGCTTGAAACAAATCCCGATATTTAATTAATGATAAAGGCAAATGTGAAAACATGTAATTATGACAGAAACGGATAGAAAGTAAAGAACATTTATTTTCAAAGTTCCTGTATGACGGGCACAAATTTCAGTGTGATAGAAACCAAAACTTGTCGCGATATGCATGCACCTCCAAATGAACAAATGTTGGTAGTAAAAGTTCCGCCGGAACTTTTATGCGCATGGAACAGTCTCTTGTTTACACCATGTCTCCGTGGCAGAAGACTGCATTCATAAGCCTTCGCTGGTTCCAATCCCGCTGGCGACACAAGTTTTCGTAAAATTATTCTATTATCAAGGTGAATTTAGGGGCGAAAAAACGTTTCGTCATTGCAAAGTGGTGTTTAACTAACAATTCACTCAGATAATGCACGGACAAAGACAAAGGAGGATTGGTTTTACAATGAGTTAAACAGTGATGAGTCTTTCATAATAATGATATTAAAAAAAACCCGGAAAACTGTTAAAATATTACGACTTTCTTTTGGGTCATATTTATTCAAAACTTTATATTTTTGGTTTGAGTTTTCGATTTGAAATGTTGGCATATTTCCCAGCTGCATCTACCCGGTCCAGCCACCAGTGATTATCTACTTCCCGATCACGGGTCTCGCAAGCCGTCACGGAAAACTGAAAAGTAGAAGATACAGATATATATTAGATCTTGGTTCCAGGAGCCCTGGCTTTACAATGAGTTAAACAGTGATGACTTTCATAATAATGGTATTGATGTTGGAGATTTTACGAGCGCTTCCAGTGGGCAGAATTTCGCATTGACGTTTTACGCTGTTTATGACTGTAAATGTAACAGAAAGAAAACAACAAAATAAATTAAGCTTGTGGATATTTACAGTTATTTTGAAACTAACGGTGGCTGACATGGTGATGACAGGTCAAGGGTCATTATCGGAGCGATCCGGTTTATTTAGGTGTTCCTTGGTGTAAGAATTTTGTTTGTTTGTTTGTTTTTATGTTGTTTAAGAACGCACTCAGCTATATGACGGCTGTCTGTAAATAATCGAGTCTGGATCAGACAATATACAGATTGACATCATGAGCATCAATCCATGCAATTGGGGTCGATGACATGCATCAACCAAGTCAGTGAGCCTGACCACCCGATCCCGTTAGTCGCCTTTTACGACAAGCATGGGTTGCTGACGACCTATTCTACCCCGGATCTTCACGGGTCTATCTCAACTAAGAAATTGAGTTAAACCTCTGAGATGTCATAAAGAAGACATGAATGCATACAGTTAAACCTTTACCTGTGGGGAACAAGGAAGTGCATCGAGAGGCGATCAGGGTGTATACAGGCCATTAGATATATAATTATAGTTGACAACTAACTCCACGTGAGATGATGACACACATCCGGGTGTATACTTACAAAGTGGATCTATATATACGGCGACTTAAATATAATATCTCGAATCTTCAGCAAATTACGCCAGTGTGGGTGTGCATGTAGCTATAAGTATAACGTCAAAATAACATTACAAAGGTTTAAAAAGTGTCATAACCTCTTTCGTTTTTATCTACATGTATATGAAACAGATTTATCAAGGTGTGATTGATAACCCATAACGAACTCTATACCATACAACCCTCATATACACTTCACATCGTAATGTTCATAAACAACACATGACTTCTTAATTAATTAACCGATTTACGAATACGGTACTTGTTTCAAGACCTATGAATTAATGTTACGACTTTCTTTAGAGACATATATATCTTTAAAATTTAATATTTTTTGTTTGAGTTTTCGATTTGAAATTTTGACATATTTTCCCGGTGCATCTTCCCGGTTCAACCACCAGTGATTATCTACTTCCCGATCACGGGTCTCGTAAGACGTCACGGAAAACTGAAAAAATAGAAGATATACATTAGATCTTGGTTACATGGTACAGTGATCAACTTCCTCGTCACACCAGTGTAATCTTTCAGCTTATTCAGGGGATGCGATGCTCTCGTACTCCGTCGCCGTATGTGCATCATCATGTCGGGGATTAAAAACTATGTAACTGAATTCCCGCATGTCATGCTTAACTAGCATATTATCTATCATTAACGTTTTCTTCGAAAAATAAATAAATAGATAAATATATGTTCCTAGCTGTGACAAAACGAAACCTTCAGGAAAGTTTTAATTTTTATACTGTTTGTTATGATGGTAGTAACAGATTATTTCTTGTCATATTCGTGTTTAAAAATCGATACGTTTACAAAATGTTACATAACATTTTTCCCACTTTATTTCCCACGTTTATTTTCATGTATGGAAGACAATACAAGTATAGCATTATACTAATGACATTTTGTTGAAAAAGCCTCTTGAAGACATTGATCCCCTCCCGTAATTGCCAATATGATATTATGTTGGAGATTAGGTAATATAAACTGCAAGGCAATAGAAAGTATACACTTGAAAATTGGATTTGACAAAAGAATACAAACGTTATCAAAACGTTCTAGGCTGAAAACAGTAGCCGAAACAAACTTAAGTCCAAAACACAACACTGAAACCTGCATCAAATAGTACATCACCATCGAATAACCATTTTTCTTGTTTGTTTCATTTTAGTCACTATCACACAGGGGTTTTACTTGCTTTTGCCAAGCAGTTTATAAGACATTTGTCTTTTCATAGAGAAGAAGAAAATTCTTTTATTTTTGGTGTCACATATTATACATGTCACATATTTATATTTAGAGTTTATTAACATATTAAAATGTACAATATCCAGCCAAAGGGCTTATGAGACAACCAGCTCAAAAATAATAATTAAAAGGTCATACATGTGTATATCACAATCTTACATTACATTATCACAATCTTGCCAAAAGACACTGCACACATGCTATATTGATATAGATGCACAACATCAGTCACACACCAAACATATAAAATTGTACTTCTCCTCCATTCATTCACATCATGGGCGTACCGGTCATCCGTCCACTTAAAGGTGTGTGTGGGATAAAAAAATAATTATGTAAATAGCCTTTGTTTGGTGGTTGTAGATCTTCCCGAGGCAAGGGAATTAAGGCACTGTAAAAGTTCAGTTTGGACTTTTATAGTTAGTTAACTCCCTTGCCTCGGGAAGATGATGGTCGAAATGAAAGAAATGGCTTCAATTATACATTTTATGTTTTTGTAAGAATATAGTGTTACAAGGATATGAACAAAAATCAAATTCTCTTTTTTTCATTTGGCATTTCTGTTATTTAATGTGACGGAGCTGTTATTTCGTATTTTATAAGTACATACAATGTATAGCGTGTACATGGGTGCAAACCACAGACCTAGGAGTACTCGTGAAGCTATGATTACTGAGTAAACATTTACGGATCTAAACTTTTTAAACTAAACTTATTATTTTTAGAGAGGTCGGATCCATAAAACAAGTTATTAATAATAAAATACCAAGTTATGATTTTCGATTATCCAAACAGCGCGTTGGGCTTGGCAAGTGCACGCGCCTCCGGGAAGGGCGGGGCGTTGTGAGATCAACAGATCGTGAGCATCGATATAAAAGGGATTAAATTAGACATATTTATTCCTTAATGTACACTCTACCCTGACTGAGCTCTACCTGTCGCAACTGAAGAACTGTCGTGTTATGAATGAGTAACACTCAACTACGTTAGATACTACCATAGCAACCGCAATTCGCACCTAATTCTTATTCAAACTTATGTCACTTATTACACACAGTATATATGACAATTTATTATCTCAACACACAAACCCAGTTACGTCTCAAATATTTGTAAATCATATATATCCTGGCTGTGGGTACTCCATATATCTCAATGGGATATCAGGTGACTGGACCGCTGTTATGACTCATGTGTCTGACACTGATCTTAAATCATATTCAATTAACTGTTTTATATATATTCTCGCTTGATGTCGCCATCGCTAAATGATTGCGTCACATGGCATTTGACTCATTCGCATTCAGGCTAAACAGGCCAGCAGTGTATATGTATGTAAACTCTAATCTTTATATCTGACCCATCCTGTTTTGTGACTGAGTATTTTCATATCTTGACCAGGTCACCCACTCACTTTCATTTCTTTCTACGTACGTTAAATAACATTCACTGTGTTCCATTGTACGTGTTACCTATACAGTCTCGTTATAAGAACACATTGAGTTCTGGTTGCAAAGGTCTTGAGATAATATTGAAACTGTACCAGCGATCATCTTGAACGAAGGTTGGGTAAGTGGCCAGACAAACAACTCACACAATGGCTGATTTTATGACGCGGCTACACGCCCATGGGCAAACCCAGTGTTTCTGTTGGTGTTTGAAACAGCTTGCCCCATTGCGCCCCAGTCGAAACAAACATGTCAACAATAAACTGCCGCGCGGTTAACTCCGACTCTCCATGGTCAACAAAACAATAAACTGCACGTTTTTACATCGGTCTGTAATTAGACTGCTCTGTGTTTTTCAATTCTTGAGGCGGCGTCACACATTGCTTTCGTTGTTGCGCAACCGCTTATTGTTAATCGACATTGACAGCGGCGTCCTATAGACACCGGGCCCAGTTCAGTGACTGCATTAAGCAGTTGGGGTCTGATGCAAGCTAAGCTATTGTTGTAGCCGTGTAGATTAGAATAGTGCCTTAAACGTGACGAAAGATCCACGAAAACGCAAGCAGTATTAGCCCCGCCCAAGGAGTGAAGCGGGTGGGACAAGCCTCACATTGCACGAGTAGCGTCGTCTGCTCGCAGATCGGGTTCTGCTTGAGTTACCACACGACCTCGCGCTAAGCGCAGACGACACCAGGTAGTGGAGAAGGCTGGGCCGTTTCGGAGAAGGTTACTTCGCTCGCTGTCCCTTTCTCAAGGTCCATTCTGTCATATCACAGCACATGATGAATATGTGATAGCCTTCACAACTGAAGTGGCCATTTTCGTGACGAATACTCCGTAACTGTGATACTGGGGCACGCGACAAAAGCACTACCAACAAAATGGATGTAGATTCGTGGATTACAGTGACAATTTTGGTGGATTTAATTGCCCTAGTCTTCCAAATCGGAGCATATGCCTCGCCCATGTGGGCATGGGCCAAGGAGGGCACTAGATTCAGAGGAGTTGCTTTGTGGTACACCGTTAGCTGTGGAGAACCATGCGTCCCAATAAAGGACGCCGAGCTCAACGCGACATTAGGTAAGTCACCAGCCTCTGTCACCAATGCTGCATATGTCAATTCATAAATAACCTTTCTATATGGGTGTTGGACGTATGTGAACGTGTTTTGTATCTGAAAAAATGTCTTCTAGTCGAGGAAACAACGGTCCCACACAAGTACAATCAATATTTGATATTATGTTCGGATGTGAATCGAACAGCTTGTTTAAATGGCGTTGTACAGGTAACCGCTCAATCACTGATACTTTAGAAGGCAATATTGCTGTCTATACTGACCTAGCTGATTATATCCGTGTATACTCGGACGTAATTTTCATATATTGTGCATATCGCGTCGTGAAAGGTGTATAATCATCACAGGTTATGTATGGAGTCGTGCATTGATAACCGTCCATATCTGCATCCTGACACAAACCACGTTAGCTATATCACAAACTTCTTACTAATGATTCCGGCTCTGAATACTGCAGGAATAGTGGCTTCTTTAAATATTTAGCAGCTGTTGTACATTGACATAGCTCTAAACATATTCCATGTTATTAAGTTATATTATCAAGTGTATATAGATTCAGACTGAATTTCAGTTGTTGTACACACTTATTCAGGAAAGGTTTTGTGATCCATCCTCTAACTGCAATTTCTCACGATTTCTTTAGCCAGTTCAATTCACTCAAAAGGCTTTGATTTGGGAATCACTGGAGCGGGTAGGCCGTATGTTTTAAAAATACACGTTTACATGTTATGGTAAACAAGTTTGAAAACTGTTTTTATAGACAAACATACGAGTAATGATCGTGTTGTGAATAGTCGTGACTACCAACCAACTGGGTATACATGTCAACACGTTCTTGCAGTGCCTTATTCTATATAAAGATTATGAGCCATGTTGACAGACAGATGTTGTGATTGATAATTCAGGACATATCTGAGTGGGTTTTTTGTGTTTAACGCCGCTTTTAACAGTATTCCAGTAATATTAAAAGTTATATTGAAATCAACCTTTTCATGTTGAAAGTCGTGGGTGAGTGAGTGAGTTGGGTTTAACGCCGCTTTTAACAGTATTCCAGTTATATCGCATCGTGTCAGCTTAATGTGGGAGGAAAGCCCGAAGTGATGCAGGTCTCAGACGTTTACCACTTCGGTGAAACCCACGAGCACGGTGCGGACAAACCTAGAAACATAATCGGGACGAACCGGGATTCGAACCCACAATCATAAGTTTCTGGCGTGCTCAGGGGACGCAACTCTGCACAGCGAATTGCGGCGCCTTAGACGACTGGGCCACCCATGCCCCCAGGACATATCTGAAGTGTACTTATGTGTGAACGGTATTTGGCCATTTTGACTCTGGGTTTGTGACCATTTTGACTTTTGTTTTGGTCGTTTTTACTTTTGAGGCCGTTTTAACGACAACCCCTCACGGACTAGTGCGATTGTCCCAGTTAATATGAAAACGTCATTTGCAATTGACAATTTGTCTATTATAAGCGGACTAGACATTCGCAGACAGCACACATCTCAATTATTGGCTTCAGATAATAGGATGATGAAATATAAAGGGTGCCTAAATTGAAACGATCAAACGTGTATTGATTAAATTTTAATTACAAACAGCGATGCATCTTGAAACCTAGCCCTAATAGTAACATAAGGACGCCACCTAAAGCTGAAAGGGCCCGAAATTCAACAAGTTCTTGGGATATCTTTAACATTTGGCGAACCGACTTGGGCTATCTGGAAAGGGCCAATTTGCTCTCTGAAAATCACTGTCGAACATGAAACACTATTTCCTCCATCATCTTGTCAAATTTTAAAGTAAAAAATACTTGATTGAGGTTGTATGGTACTCTCAGATAAATAAATCACTTGAAATCAGATTGGGGTTACCTTTAAGATTTTGAAACGATCGTTCGTTCTTATTTTGTTAGAATGACGTTGCTCCTGTTGTGAGACAAGTTATTTTACTGTAAAAAAAACCTTTATAGATTAAATGCGACATGCAGTGACACATACGTTCAAGGTGTAGATAGCCGGTGAGAAGAGTGTGAAGACATACACGGAAGGATATCACAAGTTCGAAGTATTATGTTGGACAGTTTGTCATGGACATGTTGCTGATCCAACAAACAACAGGTAGAGATCGATGGTCGACTTTCAATTAATAAAAGTATAGTGTGCATATTTAATTATTTATAATGCCCTAAATCTCTCCACACTCTCCACACTCTAAAGCATGTTCAAAACGCTACATTAACCCCGGCCAGTGGATCAGTGTGCGCTCGATTTCCATTCTCAGCTCCCTAGGGAGTATAGAACCCAACCTGCATGTTTATAATATACTGATATGTGATCAACATTTTGGGTTACACAAATTGCATCTCCATAAAAAAAAGTCTCAACTCGATTCTGTATTTGCAGAATTACTGCCATATTCATTTCAGTTATGAGCTGTGTCGTGAAGGCGGCCGTAGCAACAACGCTTCATGGCTATGGCTTCTACTGAAAAGGTCTATGCATACATACCTAATATTCGCATACCGTTTCTTTATGCCCAGTGAATGCAGATCTGTTATAAGACTCTATATACAGAGGCGTGCCGGCTTGATGAAAGAAATGTGACCTCGTTGAAAATAAAGTTTGTCATAGCTGTATAGCTGTATATGTCAACGCCTCACTCGGCAATTTTCCAACTCTACATGACGGCAGTGTGTAAATAATCGAATCTGGACCAGACGATCCAGTGATTGACATCATGGGCATCGATCCACGCAACTGGGATACGATGACATGCATCAACCAAGTCAGCGAGCCTGACCACCCGATCCCGTTAGTCTCCTCTTACGACAAGCATAGTCGCCTTTCATGGCAAGCATGCGTTGCTAAAAACCTATTCTACCCCGTATCTGCACGGGGGGCACGGGTGGCCCAGTCGTCTAAGGCGCCGCGATTCGCTGTGCAGAGTTGCGTCCCTTGGGCACGCCAGAAACCTATGATTGTGGGTTCGAGTCCCGGTTCGCCCCGATTATGATTCTAGGTTTGTCAGCACTATATCCGTGCTCGTGGGTTTCACCGAAGTGGTAAACGTCATAGACCTGCATCATTTCGGGCTTTCCTCCCACATTAAGCTGACACGCCGTGATATAACTGGAATACTGTTAAAAGCGGCGTTAAACCCAACTCACTCACTCACTCACTCACCGTATCTTTACGGGTCTGTTCATAAGGAATAGACGTTGCTGTAGTAATGGCAGGGTTAGACACGGATAAAACCTTGAACAGCTTGTTTTCTACCAACTTGCATCAAACGTCAAGTTAACTAGTTCATCTAGTTCTGGTTTTGTGTGTTTTGCCGTATTTTTTTTCCAGTTTCAACAAAAAAATATTTGTAAGAATGAAAACAATTACATTCTGTGATATCACAAACTTCTTACTAATTGCTAATGATTCCGGCTCTGATTGTATTTTCTTTCCAGTTTCAACAAAAAATTATTTGTAAGAATGAAAACAATTACTTTCTGTGATTCACGATACCTATAACATGTCCGAGGCACTATCTTTCTTGCGCTTCTGCTGACTAGAGGAATGCGGGTTTAACTGTTGACTAGACCTGAAGCCACTTTAAACCCACTGAAACTGGATATAGCAATTGTGGAGAAAAATTCTTCAATGACAACTTTACTGCCCTCGCCTCAGTGACTTCAAGATACATAACACCTTACAACACCTATACCCGACCCCTATACCCTACCCCTATGCCCCATGCCAAACCCCCACTACGTGATCACACTACGTGATCACACACACGCACATCCTATACATAGTGAAACCTAACCGTTCACATTCTGAACTTTCAGCCGTGAAATCTGACGAAGCTATTGGATGAACGTTCCGTCCCGTCTCAGTAATGAAGACAACTCAAATATATTACAATATTCAGTTCCTTAAAGCCATCGGATCGTATCTCTGCCGGAACATATCCCTGGTGTCAGATGAAGCAAAATGCCCTCAGCGAAGATATTCATAGGGCTGATCTCTCATTACTCTCCGATGACGTTGGTTCTCTGGTCGCCACACGGTTCAAATGTGAGCTGGACGTTATCCCACCCTGAATCGTAGGGTGGTCGAGTGGTTCATGCCATTATATGTCGCGACCAGAGTTCAATTTCTAGCATAGACTAATGTTCAATTAAGATCCCGATGTTTCGCCACGTTTACAAACGATGTTTACTTTTCATTTTAGTCTTTAGTTGTTTTGCCCTTAACGGAACGTGTCGTTGGCCTTTGTGGTGAAGTGTGCCCTTGTAGAGAAGTATGCCCCTGTGGTGAAGTGTGCCTTTGTGGTGAAGTATGCCCTTGTGGTGAAGTATGCCCTTGTACAGAAGAATGTGTTTGTGGTGAAGTATGCCCTTGTAGAGAAGAATGTCCTTGTGGTGAAGTATGCCCTTGTAGAGAAGAATGTCCTTGTGGTGAAGTATGCCCTTGTGGTGAAGTATGCCCTTGTAGAGAAGAATGTCCTTGTGGTGAAGCGTGCCCTTGTGGTGAAGTATGCCCTTGTGGTGAAGTATGCCCTTGTAGAGAAGAATGTCCTTGTGGTGAAGCGTGCCTTTGTAGAGAAGAATGTCCCTGTAGAGATCAGTCGTAACTTTATAGTTTCCTTAAGTAGACTTAAGTAGTCTTTAGTTGTTTTGCCCTTAACGGAACGTGTCGTTGGCCATTGTGGTGAAGTGTGCCCTTGTGGAGAAGTATGCCCCTGTGGTGAAGTGTGCCTTTGTGGTGAAGTATGCCCTTGTGGTGAAGTATGCCCTTGTACAGAAGAATGTCTTTGTGGTGAAGTATGCCCTTGTAGAGAAGAATGTCCTTGTGGTGAAGTATGCCCTTGTAGAGAAGAATGTCCTTGTGGTGAAGTATGCCCTTGTGGTGAAGTATGCCCTTGTAGAGAAGAATGTCCTTGTGGTGAAGCGTGCCCTTGTAGAGAAGAATGTCCCTGTAGAGATCAGTCGTAACTTTATAGTTTCCTT